GCCACACTACCTCCAATTATTCATACAACATTATTAAAAGTTTAATCTCTAAACTTAACAATCCTGCATTTACATTTAATTGTGACTTGATTATTATTTTTTATCACATGACTACAAATATTCCTAAAAGAAGATGGGAGCCATCTGTTTTTCTTCTTGAGATTGCACACCCTAGTGCATCATAATTTCTGCTCACAGTCCAACCTGTACTTATGCAAATAAAATTTTGAGATTCAGGAGGTGACTTAAAAGTGAAAACAACTATTTCTTAGACATCAACTAATCAACTGCTACAGAAGTGGAAAGGAATAGAAGAAAAAAAAGCAGCAAAAAAGAAGTTCTGTTAGGAGGGACTAACCATGGCTTCCACTTGTTGCCAGCACCTTGTATGGAGTCAATTTCAGATCCAAGTTTTCTTTCATTAAGAGCTGCAATACAATGAAAATATCATTATTGTAACGAATACCGTTCATTGTTGTGATTGTGTGACCGTCAATACCTCCTTGTTTCATGTGACATATCGATTAGCTGTCAGCATTACCTTTCATTCGACACATGTGTAAGCTACAAGGGCATGTAGTGGAAATTGATTGAAGGATCATCAAATATAAATTATCATTGTAATAGAATGGAGAAAGAGGTATGTTATATCGTTTGTTCCTTTTATCTAGACCCCCAAAAATATACCATTTAATCTAAAGCAGATTTGTTACGTTTAAGAATACTTGTGCTGTTTAGAATTATGTATATGCGTGCTCCGCGTGCTCGAGTTAAAACATTTCAATTAGCATAGATTTATAGCAATAGCTCTATTTGGCTCGTTGTATTTCAGTTTTTACGAGCTCTCAAGTCCAATAAATCCATTGAGAAAGATAGATGCTTGAAGGTTCCGTTACTTATAAAACATTCTCCAATGAGGCGCTGTTAAGAAATTCACAGACCGAAAGAATCGATTGAAGTCAGCGTCCGCCCCATTACAATTATAGAGAGATGAAATTGTTGTAAATGGGTTATAATGAGTTGTACAAATTTTCTTTTAATTAGTACACAGCAATAGTGCATACCTTATCCATGAGCCTAATAATCTGAAGAATCAACTGATCTTGTCGCAAATCATCACCATTCTTGAAAATCGTCTAGGAAGAAAATAACAGTGGTGATCAACAAAACAAGATCTCTGTTCTTGACACCAAACAGGAAATAGGAATGTTGAAGTTCAAGGATGTACTTTAAGGAAAATTGAATGGAGCCCAGTGCTCTGAAACTGTGAAATCCAGGTTGCCCAGCATATGCTTTGTATGAAAATACTAAAATTTCTGAGTTGCCCAAGAGCAAAAGTAAGGGGACAGGGACCACCAGGAGCTGCTAGACCACAGTCTTGAAGTTTAACATGAAATTGTCCAAATTTGATCATTTATTTAATAGAAGAGATAGACGTGTGATGGTTGATAAAAAGATATCTTTTAACTGCCTCAGGCCATGAAATTTGAATTTGCCAATAAGTTTCTCTCTTTTCTTCCTATTTTTAAGGAAAAGGTAACAGATTTTACATTCAGACAAATATATTAACTGTTTCATCAAGGTTTTATTTACAATACTGATTCTCCTGTAGTTGAAGTTTAATAAGTTATAAATAAACTGGCAATTGTAATAGGTTTTCCTTGTGTCTACTTTTTAACCCATTAATTCCCATGAGTGATCAAGACAGAATTTCTCCCTACAATATCAACACTAACAATATCAAGCAGACAAGTGATGAGAATAAAGAAAAATATCAATTAGGGGATTATAAATTGGTCCAATATCAAATTCCTTAAAGGAACATCATAAGCATTGTATAGCAGACAGTAGGGAGAATTTCAAATCAAATCTTGGGAGCCAAAGGTTAAGAAAGTGAGGGATGAGGGGAGTGGCCACTTATTCGAGGGGGGCACTTGTTTGAAATTGTGACCAAGGAAGTGGGTGCTGATCACAGCCTGGACCCTTATTCCAAGGGGGGCACTTGTTTAAAATTGTGACCAAGGAAGTGGGTGCTGATCACAGCCTGGACCCTTATTCAAGGAATATGCCGTGCTACTTCACTAACCACATATTCTTGATCATCCAACGTAAGAAAAGTGAGTTTACAAGGCATGAGGTGGCTCTTGAAAAGCCAGGATTTTTCTGAAACAGATGAAATAAAATTGAACTGTAAGTTAATGTTTTGTTACTTTGCTTTAATATATTCCTATTCAAACATTTTCAATCAGGTCTTTCTCATAGAGTAAGGTTAATAAGCACTTTAACATTAAAACAAAAAGGAATGACAGAAACTGGTACCAAGTGTGATTGACTGGTCATTCTTGTGGAGAGTGATGCATAGGTAACAGTAATAAATGGTGAAAAAAGAGTTTTTTTCTGTATTGGAGATTTCTTTTACAGGAGGATTTTCAGAAGGAATGACAAGTCACTGATTTTTTTTAGTAATCACATACTATCCTCTGGAGTTCCAACTGTGATCCCCTTGATTTTGATCTCTGGATCAAGAAGGAGAGGTATCGGTCCAAATGAAGTCAACTCAGGACAATCAAGCAGCTCCCTTAATCTGTGTATCTATTATAAAGTGGAAAAAAAGCATGTAAAATTTAACCTGAATGCTTTCAACAAAGAGTAGGTCCTATTGGTTAGTGATGGAAAATGCTAAAAGGGATGAGATTTGCTTATTTTAAAGTTTAAGTCTAAAATAAAACTTCAGCTCAAATGACTTTAAGTTATAAGAGTTTGTTTAATTTGTATTTCCCTTTGATGCAGAAAAGCTATCATAGTTTACAAGAATTTCATTCATAAATTTGTTTGATTTGTACTTCCCTTTACTGCAGAAAAGTTGTGATTATTTACAAGAATTCCATTGAATAAAACTAACCTTTTTGTTACGACCACCCCCAAACTGTGACACCTCCTTCATAAGTCTGACAATATGGTTGACAAATTGCTGCTGTTTGCCCAACATGTTCCGCCTAACTGTGCACTCCCACCCACCCTGGAACAAAGGAAAAAAACATTCACAACAGCTACAACAGCCACAATGATCTAAATTTGTTAATTCTGCTAGCAAAAAAAAAACCCCACAAAATGATCTTAATAAGTGATCTTAGTCGTTATTCATGAAATAAGCAAACATTAGGCAGAACAAACCTTCATTAATGCCTGACTGAATCTCCTCATCACATTCAAATACATTTCCCCTTCCTTTGTATCTTTTCCTTCATTACATTCCACAAATAAATACCTAAATATGTATTGACAAAGAACAATTCACTCATCCATTAAAAGAAAACTCTTTTTAAATTAGTGGGAGAACTACATGAACCACCTTCCATCACTATTAGTAATTTAAGAAAGTCAGCTTGGCGGGTTGATTTATTTGTCATATACTAAATATTTATTTCTCTCAAAGAGGGGGGGGTAACATTAACCCAAATACACCCTTCCATAACACTAAAAATAAGTCCTGGAGATATTAATTTGGATTTAATCAAAAAGGAAAGCACCTGTCCAGTCTGATCAAATTCTGTGTGAACAGTTGTTTTCAAAAAATTTCAAGTACCTCTGCCATGTGCCATGGCTCAAGTTGCTCACTGAAATGCAATCCAAGTTCATGCAACAAGACACTGCTTGCATCTTACCCCATGTTTATTGCCACTTATGTTATACAAAGTGGGCAATTTATAGCCCTTATACAAAAACAAACAATTTGATATTTGACAGTTTGTCAAGTATCTCATGTGCCATGGCTCAAGTTGCTCACTGAAATGCAATCCAAGTTCATGCAACAAGACACTGCTTGCATCTTACCCCATGTTTATTGCCACTTATGTTATACAAAGTGAGCAATTTATAGCCCTTATACAAAAACAAACAATTTGATATTTGACAGTTTGTCAAGTATCTCATGTGCCATGGCTCAAGTTGCTCACTGAAATGCAATCCAAGTTCATGTAACAAAACACTGCTAGCATCTTGCCTCATGTTTATTGCCATTTAATATGACTGTTATGCAAAGTGACCAATTTGTAACTCTTATATATACAAAAAAACAAACAATTTGACATTTGACAGTTTGTACCGGATAAATGTCTGGATAAATGAGCAACTGCACACTAACCCCTCCCTTCCCTAACCCAATGACAGTCAACTGATAACAAGTTAAGGTTAGTGCTGGGTTAGGGGAGGGGTGGGTGTGCAGTTGCTCCGGTACAAACATTGATCCTTTAATAAAATGATTATACAAAACAAGGTTCTTTAAATAATTGAGTTGTAGGAGTGCCTTACCAATAAAAATAGTTTGCCAGGGTGTCACTTCTGCAGGCTCTTAAAATCAGGAATGAGGCCAAATCTGAACCCTGAGTGATAGATTCAAGACATCAAGACATGCAAATATCAATCAGTTTTGATAGATCTCATGCCTATCAGAATGGAAAATTTGAATTACTTTAACCATAAGTGATATTAGCTAATATTCAAACCTTGTGTCTATAATGCTATGCAATTCTTACTTAGAAACTTTATCGGAGTTGGTAGAATATTTTGATGTTGGTATACAAAAAGAGTAAGAGTTAAATAGTCAATAACTCACTGTGAAAAAACTTTGACTGTCATATGCTTGTAAACACACTTCAAAAATACATCTTAAATTAAATATAATAGCCTCCACTTGGCTTTAATATTCTTTCAAGAAATTGTCTGTTCCTCAAAGCTCACAGTTCTATTTGCTTTTCCTTTCAGATTATGTCTGTAAACAAATATTTGAGTATATTTCCTTGCCAAATGAAGGCTACTGTTTATATAATTAAAATATCTTCTATTTTCAAACCTCTTCAATATCTTTGACTGTTGCAGTACCCTCAGCATCTGATGGAAGAGGGATATATACATGAATACCTTGTGATTATCTGACCAACTGAACTGTTGGTATTATTGCATTTTGTTTAATTACCTTGAGTTGGTACTGCATCTGCTGTTTGGCTGTCGTTGTTATCCTGGAGGAGACTATCAGCAGTGTTCTCTGTAAGTTTTTCTTCTTCATCTGATAGAGCATCATAACGTAATGCTTGGACAAGTTGGAGAAGATAGAGCAGCAAGTCCTATGAAATTATAAAACAGGCCTTGATTACATGTACATTATCACAAAAACTCTTGGATGATCATTTGTCCAATGACCAATCAATCAATCAGTCACTCATTGTTTCGGTGATCAAACAATCAATCAGTCGCAGAGTCGGGCAGTGAGTTGGCCTGTCAGTCAGCCAGTCAGTCAGTCAAACAGTTAATCAGTCAGTCCCAATTTCTGTACAAGTTGGTGCGCTGATCAGCATATAACCACTTACATCATCATTGGCCCCCTTCAGTCTTGAGACAGCATACTGTCTGACTGCTCTATTGGTAAACTGGGAAGACAACAACTCCAAAGCATCTTCAACATCCATTGGGTTCCACTTTCCTAAAATTTCTTGAGCCTGAAGAGCAGAACAATTTACTATTATGGTTAGTGCTAACATCTCTTGATTGGCTCTTGTAATATTCATTAAAATGTAACTATGGAATCAAAAGCTAAGTTTTTGTGAAGTTTTGATACCAATCTTTTTATCTCTATTTAATGTAATAAAATAAGAAAATGGGAATTTAGTAATGGACATTCCACTAGGTGGCTCTTGTTCACAGTTTGCAGATTGAATTGGGATTTAAAATGTTGATTTTTGTCCAGGGAGGAAAACCAGAGGACATGAGAAAAACCCTCAGAGCAAGGATGAGAACCAACAACAAACTCAACCCACATGTGATGCCAAGGTCACACTGATGGGAAGCAAGTGCCTCCCCACTCCCCTCCCCTATCTCCCTTTGAGTGATCCTTTAATTCAGGTAACCACAAATACAAAACAAAAAAAAATCATCTCAAAGAAGCACATTTAGCAATTCAAAGAAACCAAATATCCAAACCTGTCTGGCTTCCTGTGGCTGAGTCCAATCCACACATTTGAGAAACTTGGTCAGTGCCTGGAAATTTTTTAATCATCTGCTATTATTATAGAATCCTTTTGATTCCATTAGTTTTATAAGTTTATTTTTACAACACAAAAATAATTTTACCAGTTTAATATCTATGTCACCTTTTTCTGATTGGTGAGATAAAATCGGAACTGCCACACCAAATCTTTCTCTTCAGATGTGAGCACTTTGGTAGAAGGATAGCCCACAATTTGCTGAAAGTAAGAAAACAGTCATTCAATTTTCAGTAATTAGATATATTGCATATTAAAGTTATTTAAAATTTATAGGCTAAGGGAAGGGGATGAAAATTAAGGAGGGGAGGGGTAGAAAGGCATTCCACCTTCATATTATGCATTCATAATAGCAAGGATATACAAAATAATATCCTAGTCCATACATTTAACTGATCCCTGGTTTTTGCATTTGGTTTCAGCTCTCTTGATACTGTTCCACTTCTTATACTTCTGACAAGCTTGTGATGCTTCAACTCAACAAGGTTATCCTAGAACAAAAGGAAGCAAACTTGATTTCAGAACAAGAAAAATTTGTTAAACCTCGATCTCCTCAAAGCAAGTATGTAATGGCAAGAGTAGTCTACAAATAAAGCCACGTGGAAAAAAAAAAAAAAACATTTCAATACCAACAGAATTTCTGGATCAGGTACTCTCACAATCTCTGGATGAGTACAGACATGATCAACATCGTCGGCATCCTGAAATAAGGGAAGAAAAGTGTCAATGTTACGGCTTAAAAACACAGAAAAATAACTAGGTTATTAACTAAGGTTCTAAAACGTTTTCATATTTAAAAGTGACATTAACTGGCACAATTGCTTTAAATTTTAATTTAACTTTAACCTTCTATGCTGCTCTTAAAAAAAGTTGATTCATAAATATCATTTTTTCAACACTTGTTATTAATAACCGACTTCATTCTCATTTAACGAAATATTTGTTTTTAACGATGTTCTTTGTGAGTCTGCAACTTAACCAGACAGTGTATTGTCTAAAAACAGATTACCTGAGCATCTGAATCTAATAGTTCTTGATCAGAAGGTTTGATCAAAGCTGTGATGCAATTTATTCCCATGGGTGGATATAAACATGATCAAACCAACATCAAAAAGTGAAACTCAGCTCTGGTGAGCATCTCTGTTTAAAAATTTAGCCTTGTGATAACTGGTAAAATACAAAAATCCAGCAGTATAGGGTAGAAACTAAAGAAGCACAATAATTCCAAATGTAGAAATTTTGGAAAATGATTACTTTCAGACATTATTTTGAGTAAAGAAAAATACATGCAGATAACCATGAATTAATAATGAGTCAGAATGACTTTGCATTAATTTGAAAGATAAGTTTTTCTACACCAGCTGTTTTCCTAATGAACATAACCACACCCTCAAAGTCAAGTGTTCCTGATCCAAAATGATATTTCTTGAATAATAATTGTTTTCAATTTATTCACCATTTCATGGTACACATAGTTCCACAAGACAGATAAAAATAACTGGTTGAGTCCAATAAAACCTTATCTAACCAGCACACAAACCATCAAAAAGCAGGTGTTAATTGAAGATGTGATGTCGCCCCACCGGTGGCACCAGTGTACTGTGTGCAATTTTGGGGTCAGAAGGTCATAAACAGGAATTAAGTAATACCTAACAAGAAATTTAATTTTAAGCATAAGTGTGTGCCATAAAAAAGGAAAAATTAGTTAAAAAACTAGAAAAACAAAAAGGATAATAAAAGCCAGGATTGTAATGTGTTTAGTCTCCTTACCTTTTTAATAACATACATCAATACATCAATATATAGTAGCACAACCCGCGGTACAAAGGAAGTTGCCAAAAAAGGGTTCAAAACAACCATAAGTTGTAGTGTATTGACTGCACGCTAGAGTGTTATTTTACGAAATGGTCTAATTGTTGAACTCTAAGTTTTTTTACAACCGTGCCGAGCTCTGCTCTCTCTTACTTACTAACTGGGAAATTACATGATTGACGGGTAACAAAACGACAACCGGAAGCAGTCACTACATAAGTGACAGGGCAGCCACGGAATAAAGGCAAGGAGACTTGACACATTACATTCCTTGCTATTATTATCACTTTTATTTTTGTTTTATTTGTTTTTATAATTTTTCCTTTTTTTATGGCACACACACTTGAAACTCAACCTTTTGTTATGAATTAATTCCCATTTGTGACCTTTAGACCCCAAAATCACACACAGTATGCTTGGGCCACCTATGATAGCCCTAGTCTGTTTGTATTGTGAATGTTTAAATGTAGCTATACTGTCTCATTCATTCAGCGAGTTGTTATTTTTTGTTTCAATATGAAATAAACTATCACCTTTTCAAAATGAACCACAGAATACTCTAGGCCATCAAAATGGACTCTAGGAAACTTGATCATTAGAAACATGAAATTGGAGTTTCGCTTTTCCCTCTGCAAAGAGATAAAACCAAGTATTTTTACTTATTAATAAATTATCATGTAACATGCACCTAAAATAAACTTAATGCTTAATCAAATAAAAGA